CATCCCTCCTCCCCACCTGAGAGTATGTCTACCTGGGCTTAAGGCCAAGTGCATTCAAGGTGAGTAGAATTCCTGTGATGAAAGGGATGGAATATGCTTTGACTGGAGATCCTCACTCCTTCCACAATTTCTTTCAAGCTGAGGATCTTGCTTTGTCCCTCACCTGAACTACTTTATGATTTTGCCTCATTCCTACATGCAAAGCATGCAAAAATACTTGGGTTTAAATGCAGGATCTCTTCTTTTTTTTTCCACGTCTCTCAAAACAGCTTTCAGTAGTGGTTGTCCTTATGAGGCACGAATGCAACTAGGTGACAAGTCTCACAGTGGAGACAATGGGCCAGAGGGGCCCAAGTAGAGGTTACACAGCTGGGGATAAGTCAGTGCTTTACTGCTGCCAGCAAGGCTCTTTTCTACCCTTCTGCACAACTCTGAATAACCTTGACCAGTGTGTTGGGACTGACATTTTCTCCTTTTGGAGTTCTGTAATCTTATCACAAAGCTCCTCTCCCTTTTAATTCTCATTACCACTACATTGTTCTTCCACTTTTTAAACTGTATCTTGGTAATATCTTGTTACAGCTGAGATGGACTTTAATACATCCTATGTAGTGTTCTTGCTTAAAAGCTGTGATTGCCTTTCTCAAAAGCAATTTAGCTGCCCAGGACTAGATCTGTTTCTGACCTTATCTGGAAAAGACGTATTAGTGATACACCAACAGTTACTGAGTTACATTTCAGCAAGAAGTCCTTCACACAGTTTTAATGGCAGTAACTTCCCAGCCATAGCCAGAGCTCACACAGACTAAATCATCACAGTAACAAACTGCAAGCAAATCAGCTTCATGATAGAGATTTCCCTGTCAGACACTCTTTGAATTGTATTTTCCTTGTATGTTCTGCATACAGAGCTGGTATTGATGGAGGGGAAATAAAAGCAGCAATACATGTGAGACAAAAACAGAGAATCTGCAGTGTGTGGAAAAGACGTTTTCCTTTGTTTTATTTCTTCTGGTAACAGTGTTGTTTTTTGCAAGACTGTACAAGGCTTACCAGAAACCTCACTTTTGTGTTGAAAGCCTTCCTCATGGTACCAAGAAGCTTCTCCCTCTGGGACCATATTACATGAGGGCAGTGAGTTTACATTTGTCTGGAGGGTCTCCCCCGAGTACCTCAGCTCACTGCTCTCATAAGTACTGCTAATAGCCTGCCTTTACAACTGAGCTAACTCAACTGCACATAGAGCAAATATGATCTCTAGCAACTCAGATGCAGAGTGTGTTAGGTCTAGAGGTTACATCCTGGAGATGCTGCAGGTCAGACCAGTGGGACTTGTACCCATAGAAACATTGCCCCAGCCTAAGTGCTTTAAAAAAAAGGATTGTTCAGTGAACACATTCACGAGATGCTCTCTCATCTGCTCTGAAGAAGTGTGTGTGGCAGTGAGTGAAAACAAAGCCTGATGTTAGTAGCTTCCATGCAGTTAGTCATTATTAATGCAGACAGTTCTGACAGCTAAAGCAAACAACATTTGGCAGCAATAACTTAAAAAGAATGCTGTTAAGGAATGTGGTTTGCCAAGCAGCAAGTGCATTGTTGTGCAGTTAGCTGGCTTCCCTTTCCCTCCATTTTTGGCTGTTAAACATGTCGTTGTAAGTATATTTGCCCTCTTGATATGCTTTACAGGTACCATCTCACAGCTTAGCACAAGATTGGTGTGAGTTCCTGACAATGTATTCTTCTGTTGATGTCGTAGAGATGGAACTGAAATACATGAAAAATCCAGAATGCAGGAAGTACAAGCCTGGTTTGAACAGGGATTTGAACAGGGGGACTACCAGTATCAACATTTAGTTTCCCTGCATGTTCATATATTCACTGAAACTAAGCTGAATGCTAGCAATAACAAGAAGGCCCACATAATCAAAGCCTGTCCTCTCCCACATGCCTTACAGCACTCACTTGGGTGGATTAAGAAGGTTTTCTGTGTCCCAGTTTTGACTTATTTCTTTCATCTCCTGTCCCTTGGCTTGCTGAAGGAACTGCAAAACACCGAAAAACTGGAGGCCTTGGAATGTGGCTCTGTATCCATTTTGGCTTTATTTGCTATGTATTTTTTTACACTGAGAACTTAGGTGAAACCAGTTTGTCTTTCAATACAGAAAAGAGAGATCTTGCCTCCTAGACCAGAGACCCCTGACACTGAAATGTTTTTTATTTTGTTCTAGAGATTATAAATGATGATTCCCCTGTTAGATTCTTTAAAAATTAGCTATTCTCCTGAACTATTCTGAAGTGGGAAGTAGTGAGTTGTATCCACGTCATGTACTGTACAACAGCAAAAATAATAATTTCTTCCTGTTTGTAAACACTAATGTCACGACTTGTGAAGGCGCTTTGCAGAGTATTAATAGGTTGCAAACTGTAAGCATGCTTCTTGGAACTAATGTCTGTTATTTCCTTTCTTAATGCTTATTCTGTGTCACAGAATTGAATCATGTTAAAAATTAAGAGGAATAATTAAATTTTGAAATGGTTTTAACTATATTTAGTAGAACATTTTCATCAAATGGCTGGAAAGAATAAATGTATCAATTGTTTTGAAAAGGTTAATCAACAGCATTGGCTTGTGGCACTATTCCAGCATGGCACTAGAGAGCTAAAATAATATAGTGCTCTCCTCACAATCCAGATTCATCTGGTTTTAGATCAGTGAGGCAGAAAGGTAGAAAAGTCTCATGGAAAGGCTCATTGCCACCAGGTCAAGAGCAATGGGTTTGGCACACGAGGATGCTGTGGGCTGAACTGCTGGAACAGGTGTAGTCACTGTCCCTGGAGGTGGTCAGGAGACATGGAGGTGTGGCACTGGGGGACATGGTTTAGTGGACATGGTGGTGTTGGTTTGATGGTTGGACTAGATGATCTTGGTCTTCTCTAACTTTAATGATTTGATGATTTGATGTACATACTATTTCACTACAGGTGATGTGCAGAGGAGAACGTTTAGCAGTTCTCACTAAAGAAGAACAAATGGCAACAACAAAATAACAAGAGGACAAAGTGCACTTTCCAAACTTTCTTTCTGCTTCACTTTATAATGTGAGAAATACTAGGAAAAGAAATCCTGTCTCCTGTAGTTTTGCTGAAAGCTTTATTCAGCATTTGGTTAAAATAGTAGGTGTTGAATGATTCACACCAACTGCATTTCTGATGTTTAATTAAATGAATGTAAACTAACACTGATCAAACAACAATTAGGAAAACTGAAGTGTTTCAAACAATATGAGGAATGATCTCATTTGCTATACTTGATCAGTCTGTTTCTAGTTATGTGCCATATAACAATCACACCCTTTTTCCAATTCTTTATTGAGATTGTAAGAGAACACAAAACCTGAATGTATTTCTTTTTCTCATATTTTTAAAACTTCCTTCCTAACAAGAGTCGTAGACTATTAACCATGCCCACCATAATTTAACCCTTCTCTCCAGAAGTTATGCCATATTCTGATATTCTGGTCAGCCCAGAAAGCCAATTATACCCTGGGCTGCATCAAAATAAGCATGGTCAGCAGGTACAAGGAGGTGATCCTGCCCCTCTTCTTTGCATTGGTAAGGCCTCACCTGGAGTACTGCATCCAGATGTGGAGCCCTCAGTACAAGAGAGATGTGGACCTGTTGGAGCACACCCAGAGAGGAGAGCCACAAAATTTGATCAAAGGAATGGAACACCTTCCCTACAAGGACAAGCTGAGAGCTGGGGCTGTTCATCCTGGAGAAGGCTCTGGGGAGAGTTGATAGCAGCCTTTCAGTATCTAAAAGAGAGCTATAAGAAAGCAGGAGACAGGTTCTGTAGCAGGGTCTTCTGTGATAGGACAACAGGAAATGGTTTCAAACTAAATAGAAGAGATTTAGACTGGATACAAGGAAAAAGTCATTACAGTAAGGGTGGTGAGGCATTGGAACAAATTGCTTAGAGAAGTGGTGAATGCCCTGTCCCTGGAGATGTTCAAGGCCAGGTTGAATGGGGCCTTGGGCAGCCTGATCTAGTACTTAGCAACTCTGCCCATGGCCGGGTGGTTGGAGCTCAATCATAGATGAGAATCATAGTATCATGGAATCATAGAATTGTTTGAGCTGGGGCAGAGCTTTAAAGGTCATCTAGTACAATTTGTCCTTGCAATTAACAGTGACACTCACAACTAGATTCAATTGTTCAGAGCCTGGTTGTTCCAGAGCTCACGTGTCTCTGAGAGCATTCTTGAACACTAAATAAGTTATATTTTGTTATGTTATATTTTGTATTCTCCTCAGTGAGGATGTTCCACAGATAAGAATCCGTAATATTTTGATCTTGAGAGAATTTGACATTTGGTGCATGTATCTACATTTTGCTAGACAGGGGAGTGAACTCCCTTAGTGACTATCCATATACCACAGGATTTGTGATTCAGAATAAGACTTTTCCTGCCTAAAGATATTTTCAAACAAGCACGTTTGCTTTTTTTTTTTTTCTTTTTCTCCTTCTTTTTTCTCTCTTTAAAGATCACAAAATGGTTGAATTTGGAAGGAAGCTCTGGAGGTCGTCTGCAGCACACGATGGCTCCTCCCAAAACGCTCACCTGAGGTCTCTCTTTAAGGCATTCAGAACATAGGCAATTGTTACACATAATTACAGCTTGGCAATGATCTCTTATTTATTTACTTTGTCCAAACTGTATATTCTGGAGAAAGATTTACACCTGAAAGTAGTTGAGTAGGCCATGTCTTTCAGAATGAGGGAATGCACATCAATTGTTTATGAACGTGATGTCTTCAAATTTTAGCGTGAGTGAATGGACAAGGTGAGTAAAATGATGGAGAGGACAACATTCAAAGGTTGAATAGTCATGTTCGTTTACAGATTACCCACATTCTCTCCTCCACTATGAGGTACTACTTGCAGCAGTTGTCTTCTTCTTTTTTTTTTTTTTTTTTTTTTTTTTTTTTAAATAACTCACAGGAAATGCAGTGTACATGTCAACAGGTATCAAGTCTTGTTGTATTTATCTTCTGGAACATACTGGGATTTAAGACCCTGTCCTAACAACAGAAGGTAAGAGAAGATTTGTCAAGTAAAATGGTCAGTGTTCTGTAGAACATCCATACTGTATTCAGTTTAGTTTGGGATTTACTGTGTCTCTTTGAACTCCACTGTGAAACTACACCACTGGAAACTAAAAAATGAGATTATTTGGATGTGGTGCTTGTCTACTTGATATTGTGAATGGGATGATTTCTTGACAAACATCAACTTTTTTTTTCTACTATTTTAAGCCAGTAATTTCATTAGTGTGGTTTTGGTTCGGTGGTTGGTTTGTTTTTAAAACCCATAGAGGAATCAGACAAAAATTCAGAAATAAAAGAAATAATATACTAAGAAAAAAAGATTACTTTAGAGGTACCATAAAACGTCTTGTTTGTGTTCTCCATGCCATGTTTTCCTGTATAGTTTAGCCTCCTTGATTCCAATAAAGCCCCAGATATGTTTTATGGTCTTAATTAATCACCAGAGTGTATATTGGATGTAATCACATGAAATGCCTATTGGAAAACACTCATGCTTTGGATTCTGACACAAGAAAAATGATACTTGACAGTGAATTCTCATGAAGCTTTACATTATGTTTTCTTAAATAAGACCCTGCTGATTGCTGGAATATTTAATTTCTTAAAAAATAAAATAAAATCAAAACAAAGCAAAATTTGAAAACCTCTCTCTCTCTCTCTCTTTTGTTCTTTTTGTTTTCAGAAAAACAAACAAAAACAGATTTGCTGCTGTTCAAAACCTTGAATTTTATTTTCAACATTTTCAGACAGTTCTTTTTGCTCAATGGGAAGTATCTGTGATGATTAGCAGCACTGGCTTTTTGTAATTCCCGAGGGTAACTTGTCACCTGCTTCTATGCTCGTTGGTTTTATTTTCATAATAGAAGACTGTGAGGGTAGCTGGTGTTTATCTTATTTGTTAAACTGAAAGGTTGTCTTCCGTTCATTGATAGACAGTTGGAAAAAGTTAAACAAAATAAGCCTGAATAACTGATGACACACAATTTTTCATAGAAGATATTATAGCATTTGCTGCTTCGTCATTATTTTCCTCTTTCCTCCTTGTCCTTGTTTGATTTGGTGTCAGTTTCTCAGCATATTTGGCTGTGCTGATTCTGAGAGGAAACAGAAAGCAACCAATGCCACTCACTGATGTATCTTTCCTAGGCAGCGTTCTTATCTGCTACTTAGCAATTTTATTGTGAAGCTTTGCAAATAATGGTAAAGAAATTTTGATTATGTATTTTAAACTGTAATTATGTGGAACTAATTATTCAAATTAAAGAGAGGTCATGAAACTAGATATGTGTATCTTTGAATCCTTACTTTATACCAGTTCTATAAACTGGTTAAGACCACAATTAAATTAATTAAATTGATAGATTTTTAACATAATTTAAAGGAGCTCAGAAGTCATATATTGAATGCAAAGGGCAATGTGACTCCTGAAGTCTGACAGTACTCTTTGATCCTGAGCTCATATGGAAAGATTAACAGAGCACACATATTGGACTTTGTGATGCTGTCTCCAGGTGGGGAGACTGAAATTCTGCCAGTTTTACTTAGAACTCCAGGGTTTTTTTTATTCTATTAATTCATTATCTTCATTATGCACAACAGCTCTCTAGAAACTTCCCAAAGAGAAGCAAAAATCTGTTTTGTGGCCATTAACAGGAGGAATAGACAGTGATTTGTTTCCAGGCTGAGAATATTTGCTGAAAAAAGGAAGTTCTGCCTGGAAAAACTCTCACCTGACTGAAAAGGGATTTATTTATTTTCTGATGTGACAGACAGTACTGATGACATGAAGGGGGCATAACATCTAAGTCTTTTCAACCAGGAGAAACATGACTGAAGAGTTATGCAATTCCTCACAGATTTTTTTCATTCTACTTTTAAAGAAACTTGTTGGCAAGTTTTTCTCCAGTGTGACTTACATAAATCTTGATGTCTGTCCAGAAATCAGTGCAAGATGATAAAGCTGTATTAATTTTATTGTTATCTTCAGCCGAAAGTAGTAATGAGATTTATCTCCACAATCCCTTCCTCTTTTGAGAGGCTCCTCATTCTGAGATGAATATTTTACATTCTTGCCAAACATACAAATGACCAACGTTCACATCAATAGGTTGTGTTTCAATCTCCAATTTTTTTGTGGTTCTATACTGATTCTCCTAATTAAGAGACAAGCAGATTTTACATGACATTACTTGACATTTCTCAAAGTGTATTACAGGGATCTATGGCTGAACTGACATAGAACTTTGCCTTGGTACAGAACTGAGGCTGTGGAGGGAATTCCTCCATCTATTGTCAGCTGTGCACTTAGTGATTTGGCCTGTGGAGCTGTTGGCTGTGTGCAAAGCTAAAGTCCCTTTGAAGAATGTAAAATCAGAAGCTGTGCTCCTGCTGTGCATCAACTGCACTGCAACCCTTAACAGGATTCAGGGTCAAAACTAATCATGAGCCTTTGGGAAAGTTTGGTCTGCAGCCAGGAGCACAGCTGAAGTCTGATCTGAAGTAAGAGCTGTGCATCGTCTCCTGTATCTCAATCAGACAAACACTGATTCCTTCCCGGATCAGCTGCTTTTCTTACATCACATACTTGCTAAAATTGATGTTGTCTCTCATTTTTCACTTTCTATGAAGTATTTCAATCTCCTTTTATTTTCATCACTTAAGTACCTCTTTATTTCCCCTTTTTTCCCCTGTATACACCAGCCCCTTGCCATAATATCCCATATTTTTTCTGATTTATTTTTGGGGAAAAAAAAAAAAAAAAATCAGTGGCCTCAACAAATTCTCCAGTTTTCAGTGCATAAACATAATTTATTGTGTCTCATTTATCCTTCCTGGAAGGTTTTCCCTATCACCTTAGAGTCTTTGGAATGCCCATCCTCCTGTTAAGTGGACTAGCATGAAGATAGGGAAGTTGTTTGCTTATAAATTGTCTTCTTCCCTTATCCTGCGTTGGGACAAATGATCACCTTCACAGAAATGGGGGGGGGGGTCAATATTTTGCATCAACTGTAATACAGAAGTATCTTGAAGAAACTCTTTGTTACTATGTTTGCAGGTGTGTTGACTACCATTACATGCCCTGATCTAGATGTTCACTTAAGGGTGTCCATTCACTCCCCTTCCTGCCAGTGGGAAAGGGAGAGAACTGGGGAAAAAAAAAAAAAGGTGGAACTTGTAGACTGAGATAAAAGCTATTTACTAAGACAGAAAAGGAAGAGAGAAATAACAGTCATGGTAATTATATATATATTATATTTTATATATACATACATATATAATATAGATGTTATATTATATTTGATATGTATGACAATTATATCTATGTTTTATATATATAGCACGTATTTCTTTTTTTTTCTGTCGTTTGTCTTCTCAGCAACATCGTGGATAATCCTGGGATTTCTTTGAGAAAAACAGTTGAGATCAGAAATACAACAATCACATCCATGTAAACACTGTCAAAATTTTGGCAGATCAGCTCTGCAACAGGTTGAGAAACTTGTCCTTGTGTAATGCAAGCAAAATACTTCAGAAGGAACTTAAACCCCATGAGATTTCCCAACCTAAATGCTTTGCTGAATCAGTGCACCACCTGCACTGGTAGCTTGTTGAAATGCTTAGTATTTCAGTCATCCAGACAAGATAATGTAGAAGCAGATCATTTCAACATTGATGGTGTTTTAAGAACCTGCTTTCAATAACCATTCTGGTATAGAATGAGTGCAATCATTTATTTACTTGGTGGGTTATTCTGATCCACATAAAGTGGGACATCTGTATTCCCTTTGATCACATCAGTGTTACATTGACAACTAACTTTTGATAATTCAAAATCCTTTTGGAATAGCTACTGTGCACTATATTTCTACATTTAAATCTAATTAAAACATTTGTTCTGAACACGATTTTCCCTTTAATGCCAACTACATTGCTATACGTGTTACTTATGCTACCACGTAATTGAATGGATTTGAAGTAGTAGCTTAAAAAAACCCACAGATGTATAGTTTGAAGAGAAAAAAACACTTCAGGAAAAATAGATGGTAATTAGTTGGTTAGCACACCATTTTTTTTGCATTGTTTTATGAAAAGCAGAATGTTGCCACATTTTACATTCTGTTTTCATGATGTCACCTCTGAATTTTCCAGTTTGCCCCTTGGGCATGCAACTTTGTTCCTTGTATTAATCTAAACCTAAGTCTTAATTTATTTTTTCTTCTTTTTTTTTATACATGCTAATCTCCTTGGAGTACCAGGAACTGGTGGGTTGGAGCCAGTTCTAATTGAAAACAATGAAATGCTCAGTTTGACATCAGTGTTTTCAAGATATGTAGAAGGCTCAGTGATTATTTTAAACTCTTACTGTTGTTAATTGTTACTTGTATGCTAATCTGATCAATTCTCATTGCTTGAAAAAAGACAAATTCATTTCAGTGACTAAATTGAACATTGTGGTTTATTTGCATTTTTTATTAGCCTATATGCTTGCAAAAAACATTCACATGCCCATATACAAACCTCCTGCTACTCTACATCTTGAACAAAGAATTATATTTATCTGGTAACTAGAATTTTACAGCAGGTACGGGACCTGCTAAATCCTGCTGAGGGTACTTTTTCAATATGCATTCATTAGCAAATATTAGCATCCACATTTCATTTAACAGAGCTAGGATAACAAGAAATTAATGGACCACTCACTTAAAATTAATAGCTTCTATCTCTTGAACTGACAGAATCAGTTAATAAGAAATGTATATATTCACTATACTGCAGTACTCTTAGGAGGCACTCTTTGCCTCCTACTTTATGCCGTGGAATTGTTGCCTGGGGCTGATACTCTGAAGAAGGACTAGGTATTTTCCATTTTTATAAGTGAGTGTCCTTGGGGTTTTGTGAGAGTTAAGAAGAACTTTGATACAACTGAAATGTGTCAGATTGTTCTGACATTGGCAGGAAGTATGTGTATAGCAGTGTTTCTTGGTGGAATACAATGGGTTTGTTTCATCAGTAGTAGTTTTGTTGTTTTTTGTTTTTTGTTTGTTTTTTTTTTTGAAGATAGAGTCCTTGTAGAGCAGAGGAATGAGGTCTTTTGAGTCATTATCTAATGACATCCTCATGGTCTACTAATGTCCACATGAAAGTCTGCAGACTTCTTCAACAGGAGACTCTCTGAGCCTGGTCAGGAGCAAGGGGTGACTGGTGTCACACAGGGGACAGATCAAATTGTCCACTAACATTACTGCTATTTAACTACTAACTGCTATCTAACTACTGCTATTACATTGCCCTGCTATCTGACAGGAGGAGAGTCCACAGTACCACAGATGTGGCAGCCCTGCATGTCCCCTGCTCACCCTGACAACCATGGAGTGCCAGGGAGCCCCTTCTCATATTGTTTGGAGGGCTACTTCTGTAGGGCGGGAGGTGTCCTGCTCCATCCCTACAGCTCAAGATCCCATTGCAGGGAATAAGTGGTGCGCAGCAATGCCAGCAGTCAGTATTTTTAGGGTATGTAGTTTGGTGTCTCTGAAGCCACTCAGAAGGGCCACAGCAGAAGAGGGAAACATAAAGCTTTCTTGGACAGACAACACTGTTGTAACTGCATTTTTGGCAGTGAGAATTGTCATACAAATGAGCAAGAGATATATGTCTCTATCCCACCTCACAGTGCAGTAAGTATTTGATGCCAGGGTGTGGTCTTTCTGCCAATGACTGGCAGCAGTACAGTGGTTATGAACAGAGCTGTGTTGTGAACAGTAGGCTATGGCACAATGACAAGCACTGCAAAAAAGTGCTGCTGCTAAGAGACTGATTGGATCAACAAGCTGTGTAAAAAGAGGAGTGCATGGATACAGTGTGATGTTTGATGAATTCCCTTGCAGGATGTTCAAGCTCATATAGGCCATAAACCACTCAAGGTAGTTTTTGATGACATAGTCTGACAGACAGCCACTTGCCCCCAGATTGCACAATTGGTCTTCCTGAGGGGTCAGAGATCAACTTTCAGGGAGTAGATGGTCTTGCTTTGGCTTGTGCTGGGCTGAACCTTTCTTCACCTCAGCCTGTAATTTCTGGAGAACGCAGCTACTTTAGGACAATTTAGAGACATAGAAAACCTCAGGAAGAGAAGTAGGTGGATATGATCCAAAGAAAGCCTTAGTGTTCAGTTCCAAAAATGTGTTTTTCAATGGTGTAGTTCTAACTAAGTCTTCAAAGGCACAAGTGTGAGAGCAATCTCATTCAGGAAGAAAACTGTCCAGTAAGACCATCTACCAATGAGGAACCATGAGGAACAAGCAATTCTGTGTGCAAGAGAACTAATGGAGCACAGCTTCCAGAGGCTGTTCCTTCTCATCACTTATTTGCTTCCTCTTCACCACTGGATGAGCACTAATAGAGAGCACCAAATATAGAGCACAATTCCACAAGCTTTATTTGCTTAGATAATCATGCTAAACATAATCTAGGCTTTTTCCTAGTTTTAATACTGGATTATGTTCTATTGCCAATGGGAGCAGAAAGGAAAAAATATTCCAAAAACAGTAATGCATCTGAGGGGATCTTTAAATTGTAGTTTACCTGCTTAAAAAATGTACAGTTTTTTTAATTGTACATTTCATTTCACTTTTGTTCCTGATTTTGCTGAGACTGGGTGATCAGGTGCCAAACCCAAAGTCCACAGGGAGTGTAAAGCCAACAGAGGTCTGACCAAATGGCCTAGATGGCAAAATTCCAATCCTCTAATGCAATAAGGCACCTCAGAGCCATGCCACAGAAATCTATTCTGATTTTATACACACTTAAAATGCAAAGTTTAAACTTTTAAGGGGTGTAATTGCAGTGTTCCTTTCATTCTGTGAAACACTTCAGGTGCTGTGAAACCATAAGTATATCTAAATGTAAAAGCAGAATTTGCAATTCAGTATTTCTCAGCATCAGCCAGGAAGGAAACGTATGAATCCATCTGTTCATCTGAACGTATGAAGAATTTGTTTTGTTTTCCATTTGATTCACTCCGCATAGTTTGGTAATTTTAAAATTCTCTCCCTTCACTGGAACTGTGGTGTTAGCACTGAGAGTTTTGTAGTGTATTTAATGCTAGACAAGGGGCCAGGGAGAGAAGACAAGGGAAAAGATCATTTTTTACAGTACCAGAGACAAAATATTTGTGGTTATACTTCATGAGATTTATTCTTTCACCTCACTTACCGACTAGAGCGATAATACTCTGGTATTTTTCTCTTGCTGTAATTCACAACATTAGTCATTCTATGAGACTTTTGTACTCCTTCCTGCAAAATCACTGCTCATGCTGTTATCCTAACATTATTTTGAGAACCATGGAGGAAATGGGTACTATTTCAAAAAGCAAATCCAAAAAGTATCTTTCTGTGAAGCTAAAGATTTTCATGGAACAGTCATTGTCCTCTCCAGTTATTTTTTGCCAGGTGGCAGAATGCAGATCAGAGTGGCTGGACAGGAGGTGGAAAACTTGTGTTAGACCTGTACCAGAATTTGCATTATGTGTGTTGAAATCTAGAGTGCAGAGTGGATAAAAAGCAGCTCTTAATGCAGGAAGTACCAGTGAGGACCAGAGGGTATATAAGACCTGTGCTGGTTCCTTACAAGATGTCCAGCCTTCACACCAGCCACCAAAACATCTGGTACATATAGTTATTCACACTGCAGTGAAGAGTTTGAAATCAGACTTAAGAAATTCTGTTGTGTTAGTGGTTCCAGACTGGCTAAAGATTGTGCCTTTCTTCTAATGATAATTCCTAGTTCACTTAATTTTTCAAACGAACCTATTCATTATCTTTGAGGCAGAACTCAAATATTTCTTCAGTTTTTACAGTTGATTTGAATATGTATTATTTTAAGGTATTTGCATGGCATCCTAAAAGCTGCAAACAGTACTTACAACTCAGCAATGTGTCATCAAAATCTATTTTTGCCTGAGCTCTTGAGCGCATTTTCAAAATCCCTACCTGAGTCAATCAGTTGCAATCACCCAGAGTATGCATGAATGATTGACTTTGACATCTGGAATGTAAGATTATTGTAATAAAGAATCAAGCACCTGCACCACTTCTTTCTTTCAATGACTGTTAGGGTAATAACATTAAGTAATGAACTTGCACAAATGGTTAATGTGAGTAGTTAAGCTTTCACAACCAAAGCAGAATACTTAGAGACAAGCAAGATTTATGAAAAGCTTGTCTCACAGTGCACGACATCATTATCCTATATAAAGACCTACATAATTTTGATTCTCACTGTTGGCTCACAGTACTCAGCACTGTATTTTGCATAATTAAGCTAGTAGAGGTTGTTATTTGATCTTCTTCTGCTGGCATACATACTATTTATAGTAAGACTTGCTGTATAAAAAATTCCAACACTCAACGTTTTTAAAATAATAAAGTAATCCAAATCATTGAGCATGAGTAGGTCTGGTCAAGCTAGTGGAGATATACTTCCTTGTTATCAGCTCAGCATACAGAACATCCCATCTCTAGAAGTAATAGTAAAGTAGCAATTAAGTTTTTCAGAAAAGCAAATCAGTCTTCTTAGCAGTTGAACCCAGTGTACCGAGAATCTTCTTTTTCTTGGACAACTAGGAAACAGAATGTATTTCTTGTTTGGTGAAAATCAGCCCCAGTCTTTATAACGGCTGTGCCTGCTCTTTCTTAGTTCTCTAACTGACAGAGTCAACTCGAAAAACAAAAGCACCTATTCTGTATCAGATGAATTCTGTTTGTTTCCACTGTTGTCTTCACACTCAGATACCACAGCACCATCTTGCTGAAGTTATATTTACATTCAACTGGAATTTAATTAGTTCTTC